ACAGTGTTTAATTCTGTGAAAGCAAAGTTTCATTATCGTTTGTTTAATTCTGTAAATTTTTATCTTGCTATCGGTATAGACTAGCATATGAATACATAAAACACAGTTGTGTGCGGAGGAAGGGATGCATTTATATAAGCAGGTCAGAAGAATATGTGCAAGAAGCATTCCGGTTCTTAAAGGAAACAGTGAAACACGTCTGGGGCTTTGAATCATTTGCTAAGATAATATTGACGTTTATATTGTACCAATATTGAAGTCCAATATTGTACCAATCCTAGAGTCCCATCCCTGTTTTCACCACCTACAATAGGTCTTCACAGGCAACTCTGCAGATGCAATACAGTAAATATGGTGCACAGTTACAAATGACAACACCTCCTCCAAAATACAAAACAGGTTCATATTTTGAACAATATTGTGTGGATACTAAATGTGCAGGAAAGACTACGGTGTTAAGCAGTACATAAATTGTTGAAATGAAATGAAATAAAGGAAGGAAGAAATGAAGATAGCAAATACTGTACTTGTTGCTGAATTGCAGGCACAACCCATGAGACCCCAATGTCTGACACAAACCCAAATCTCTTAATAATAAACACGTGGAAATAAAAAACAAGCAGTACTATTGAATTATATTCTATACTTTTTTTTTTAGGTAACTTAATTGGTTGCTTCACCATTTTTACAGGTTCCATTTGCAGGATTAAATTTAACCTACAGGGTATTTACACAAGCAACTAACCAATATAGTATAAAGGAACTGGTATGTTGAGTTTGGATGTGGGAGAATCCCAGTTCCCCTCTGCTCTTGACCACAAAGCTTATTAGATAGCCCAACCCAGTGATTTTTAACTAGAACCATAAGTCTTCTCAGGGGGCGTTCAGGAATTTAGGAAACAAATGGGGCACTTTCAAGATTTTAGACAGCCCCTTCTTCCTTCTTCCAATGGCTTCCGACAGCCAGGGGACAAGAGTTGTTGTACACTACTCCCTTGAGGACACACTGGCTCAGGGCTGGCCTAGATGTTCTACTAACTGAAGCAAAAGACAAAATTAAACACAAACTATACAGTGGTACCTCGGGTTAAATACTTAATTCGTTCCAGAGGTCCGTACTTAACCTGAAACTGTTCTTAACCTGAAGCACCACTTTAGCTAATGGGGCCTCCTGCAGCTGCTGCGCCGCCGGAGCACGATTTCTGTTCTCATCCTGAAGCAAAGTTCTTAACCTGAAGCACTATTTCTGGGTTAGTGGAGTCTGTAACCTGAAGTGTATGTAACCTGAAGCATATGTAACCTGAGGTACCACTGTATTCCACAAACAGAAGCCAACTGGACAGGTGGTGAGATCTTAGTTCAACATGGACAAGAATACGTTGTCCCAGCAGCGGAGCAAGCTGATCGGGCGCCTGGGGCAGGAGGCGGGTGGCCCGTTTGGGGCAGCGGGGAGCCTGCGTGCACCCAAGCCACCGTGTCTCTCCCAGGCCCCGCAGTGAGTGCCGCCCGCCATTTTGTCACCCCCCTCAGTGGTGACACCTGGGGCGGCCCACCCCCACCACACACCCTTCCTCCGCCCCTGCGTTGTCCACAACAACACCTGAGGGCAGCAGGTCATCTCAGGGTAAGGTGAGTGGTGCAGGCAGAAGAAAAACAGGTCCTCAAAGAAAGAGCAAATAACGCTCAAATAAAAATTCCCATTTCTTGGAGAACGTGTTTTTTTCTTTGCTGCACAAGCTTCCAAAACTCACCAGCTCATATTATCACATCTTTTCCTACCACAGCCAATTCTCCATTCTGCCACTTATAAGAGCAATTCAATAACCACTCGCCTAACCTTGGGTAGCCTCAGGGATGTTGGCCTGAGCTCCCTGAGGGAAAGGTGGGGAACAAATGTGAAAAATAATATGCATCAAGCACTTAACTGAACCCGTTATGAGAGCTGTGCTTTCTTAGTGCAAGGAAGTGTGGATACTTAGTGTGGATACTTGTGCTATCACGAAGTAATGCGAACATCTGCTATAAATTAAGTACAAGACCCAGAAACACATTTATTACAAGATTCCATAGTAACCCAAAAGGCGAATCCTGCTTCTCGCCCTCTCCCTCAGATCTCCAGAGTTGTTAAATTTGCATGCAAATATGTTATAGGTGCAAATGTGCTAAATAAATGTGATTAATGTTAGTAGCTGAAGAAGTCAAATCCCCATGACTAGAATAGGTATTTTATTTACTGGTTCAAACAACAGCAAACAAAGGATTTTAATTACATATCTCCAAGACTGAAACTGCTCGGTATTCCCAATTGTCTGCCAAAAATATATTTATGGAAATGAACTGTTGAGGCATCTCAGTGATCTTAATTTTTTTTTAAAGAACATATCTGATAATGCATGCAGTTACTTTTTCTTAAATCTTTATAGCAACCATAAGTTACAGCCAATAAAAAAGGAACCAGGTCATATGAGGAGGTTGCATACATATCATACCTTTAAACCATGTGGCTTCCCCCAGAGAATCCTGGGAACTGTAGCTTATCTCTCACAGAGCTACAATTCCCAACATCCTTAACCAACTACAGTTCCCTGAATTATTTGGGGAAAGCGGCGCTGTGGTCTAAACCACAGAGCCTAGGGCTTGCCGATCAGAAGGTTGGCGGTTCAAATCCCCACAATGGGGTGAGCTCCCATTGTTTGGTCCCTGCTCCTGCCAACCTAGCAGTTCGAAAGCACGTCAAAGTGCAAGTAGATAAATAGGTACCGCTCCGGTGGGAAGGTAAACGGTGTTTCCATGCGCTGCTCTGGTTCACCAGAAGCGGCTTAGTCATGCTGGCTACATGACCCGGAAGCTGTCTGTGGACAAACGCCGGCTCCCTCGGCCTATAGAGCGAGATGAGCGCTCAACCCCAGAGTCGTCCGTGACTGGACCTAATGGTCAGGGGTACCTTTACCTTTTATGTGCATTAAATGAATTGGGAAAATGAGGGGTTTCTGAATGGCTGTCCTGGTCATAGGTACTCTGAAGATCACACTGATTACATTTAAAATTATTTTAAAGCAAACATGCATGGGGCAGTTCAGAGCAGACATAAGCAGAACTGTGCTGTTAACCTATTTTGACAACAAACAGAACATCAGATTGGCAGGTCATTTGTTCCTGACTAATAAAAACAATCAACATTAAAAAAAAACCTTCCTTCAATACAGACTAGGCAACATAGATGTCTAATGGAATTTCTTTTAAACACATTTCATATTTCAAACACTGATTCGATAAACGTTATTTCTGTCAATCAAGACCGCGACTGTGCTGGCTTTTAATGGCTAAAGCTAGGCAGATCTGAATAATTCAAATGTTCTATATTATGAAATAATGTGTCTGATTTGAAGGTTATTGTGAACATGACTTTATATATATATAGAGAGAGAGAGAGAGAGAGAGAGAGAGAGAGATTACATGTGTGATCATGTTTACTGTTTTTAATATATTTCTTCTTTCTAATGCTGTTGTGAAAAACACAGACTATCAATGAGGCTAGCCTCAGGACAAAAATATATAATTTTATATGGATTACTGTTTAATAGCAGATATGCAGCACAGGCCATTGCCTGTTTAGTCAAAGTAAACCACAGTATTATTTGTATGTCGCCCATCTGACTGGGTTTCCCTAGCCACTCTGGGCAGCTCCCAACAGAATATTAAAAACATGATAAACATTAAAAACTTCCCTAAATAGGGCTGCCTTCAGATGTCTTCTAAAAGTCAGTTTATTTCCTTGACATCTGATGGGAGGGTGTTCCACAGGGTGGGCACCACTACCGAGAAGGCCCTCTGCCTGGTTCCCTGTAGCTTGACTTCTCACAGAGAGGGAACCGCCAGACGGTCCTCGGAGCTGGACCTCAGTGTCTGGGCTGAATGATGGGGGTGGAGATACTCCTTCAGGTATACTGGGCCAAGGCCGTTTAGGGCTCTAAAGGTCAGCACCAACACTTTGAATTGTGCTTGGAAACATACTAGGAGTCAATGTAGATCATTTAAGACCATTATTATTATTATTATTATTATTATTATTATTATTATTACCCTGCCCACCTGACTGGGATGGCGCATCCACTCTAGGCTGCTTCCAACAGATTAAACCTTCCTTAGAAAGCATACATAGGATTGTGGGTTTCACCTGTTCGTAAAAACTCACATCAGGTGTGCTCTTATGGTTTTCATACTCATAAACTACTCAGAATGCAGAACCAAGACTACAAAGCAAATGCTCGATTGTATGAATCCTTATTTAGGAGCAAGTGCTACAGGTCTCAGTAGGACTTACTTCTTAGTGAATCTGCACATGAATGAGCTCCAAGTATTGTCAACATATCCGTACAAATGAAACATTACCCATGTCATTGTGATACCTTGCTACCTGTGTATAAACCATGTGGCTTTGAGGAGTTGTGCTGCCTTATAATGGAGGGCCATGTTCATACTGAGAATGCCTACTAGTATGACAACATGTTTCCGTAAATACAGAACGGATTGAAATATGATGTTGCACATCTAGGCTGCAATCCTGCCCTGAACTGTGAGCACGCAGTTCCCAGGAAAAACAGCATGACATGCACTTATAACATTTGGGTGCAAAAACCATTGGGCTGGCAATATTTTTAGCAAGGGAGAGACCACCTATTTGGCTCTTGTTATATGCCTGTTTCAAAAGGAGGAAATCAACTTGATTTTGATTCTACTGCATCCAGTGACGTTCTCATTTTTTTTAAGTTTTAAGTATATTCTCACTATGCAAAAAGTTTGCTAAATTGAAGCTATTCCATCAAAAGGAAGCGATAGGAAACAGCCTACTGATTTGTTTGAAAGTAGTGCAGCTTGGCAGTATTAAATGCTTGCACACAGAGGTTTTTTTATTTTAAAAAGATGGAATAAATCTTCTGCCAATTTAACTTAAATCTCAGCAATTTTTCTGATAAGAACTGGATAGGTTGCATGCTTACCTCTTTCTCTATTTTAAGCAACTTCTTCACAGCCACCTCCTTGTCCTGGGATACCCATCGGGCTCGATACACACTCCCGAAACTCCCTCCGCCGCAGTTTTCAAAGAACTGCAAGTCATCAAATTTAATTTGCACAAATGAAGCACCGAGAGACAACATCTCATAATGACAAAATAACCACGGCAAAACCTGCAAGGAAAAAAAGGGAGGGGGACAAAGAAATCTCCAGTTATGCTTTCGTTGCCATGGTTCACCTATTCTGAACTTTCCCTTTAGTATGATAATGCAAACAAGATACGAATGGTATAAAAAGCGGTGGCACTCACACTGTATATTCCGTCCAGACCCTTGAAGCTATTATCTGTGGATAAACGGCTAAAAAATCCACCGCATTCTCTGCTATTTTCAGATGCTGGGACCACAGGAAAAGGCTCTGCGTATGTGTGCTCAGTTCCCTTATAGTGACGTACACTGTCAAAAGGAAAGCTCACTTGCAACTGTTAGCTTGCCTAGGAGTTCTGGAATCTGGGGTATGCCATGTATCCATGTCGTGATCACTTCTCGAGAAATATACATAACCTAAGCTCCTGAATATTCTGGCACAACAACAACTTTAGACCTCTCCAGACCAAGAGCTCTGTCTGCAAATGTTCACTAAGGTAGAAAGCATTTGTTATATGCAGCGGAGGGAAAAGTTGGCCAAAACACAAGTCTGTTCCAGAAGTGGCTTAGTTATGCCTTCAGCAGCAAGTGCAGAATAATTTATCTTGCTTGCAATACACAAAAACCCTATGAGTACGTGAAGGCACACTTCTTCTTTCTTATTCTTTTAAAAGAAAAGAAGAAGAGATATCATATTTCTTGCCAGCGGAACAGAACATTCTTGTTCTAAGTCACGGGGTCTCTTCAAATAATCTTTAATATTATTATCCAGCCTATTGCTGGATCACTTAAGAAGACTGACCCCTGACCAAAAGAAGTTATCAAGCTCAAAAATCCATATATGTCAGGTTCATGTTGAAAGCAAAGTCTAAAAGTAAGCTTTCAGGGGAAACCCAGTGTAACTTAAAAAGCTGGCACAAGCTCACAGCGACTACATTTCTCTGTAGATCCAACTTAAGAGATTTTTTTATAGTACAAAACAGTGCAAAAATTAGTACAAAAGTAGCACAGCCACATGGGCTCCTGTAGAAATTCTTGCATGATTTTGCACAGAATAAGATGCTCTTGCGAATGCACAACTAACCTTTCAGTCTGAACTGGCCTCACTAGTTGAGAGGGATGCTATGTGTGATCATTTTCTAGACACCAGGAAATCTCCACCAATTCCACACCTGTTCACACACCACTTAACATTAACCTGTGCGGTGCTGCTTAAAATAAATAAAGTTAACAGTTTGGAGAATTAAGTGATACAGTCCTGCCTCGGCCTGTTTCTTGACGAAGATATATGTGTGCATAAGCATTGTATTTTTAATTCAGAAGTCAGATTGAGAAGCTACTAGTTCTAGATTCAAAATCCTTTTGAGGTTCCATGCCTACTGCTGGCCAACAAAGTGGAATAGTACCATTATTTCCCTATTACAAAATGGGTAAGGGGACCAGAGTCCAAGTCACAGAGACTTGCAAGAGCTGCAGATAGGAGTTTGCGACTCAAGTGAAGTTTCCAACTAGTGACTTGCAATGCAACTGAGTACTTACCATGTTTGGTGTTTTGTATTAGCAAATAAAATGCTACCCTATCCTATGTAAGGATCTGTGAAACCTCATTGCAAACACTTAGGCACATGTCTAAGTTTAGTTATACGAGTATCAAAGACGATGGATATTAGAGACAATTGAATTTCCCTTACGTATGTACACTCACACTACGGTTGCGTAAGTGCGCACGACGTTCAATTTCAGTTGACTCATCTTCAGTTGAACCCAATCCCAACCCTAGCAATAAGCTCATAGATCAGATGAAAAGAAGAAATGGAGCAAAATGTAATCAGCATATTGATGGCATATGCAAAACACATGATTGTGCAAGCTCCCATGGCTCCATATATAGACTAGAATAAGGGTAAGGATAAAATGGACCCAGCCAGGAAGTAATGCAATCACTAAAATGGGAATGCCACAATATTACCTACTAAGTCTCACAGTGGCAACAAGGGAAGAGCCACAGCTCAGTAATAGAACATTTGCTTTGCATGCAGAATATCTGAGGCTCAGGTCCCAGAATCTGCAGGTAAGACTCTCTCTGACAGTAGAGGCTGAACAAAGCCATCATGGCTACTAGCTGTTGATAGCATTATCTTCCATACATTTTTGTCTGATTCTTGTTTAAACTCATCCAAGTTGGTAGCCATCACTTCCTCAGTCACTCCCATCCTACAAAACCTAGGTCATGCACTGAGATCTGCCCTGTTTTCTGATGATGCAAAGAATTCACCAAGCTTCACTGCAGTCTCTTTATCCACATTTGAACTCCCTCGTCATCCCGGATCAGCACCCAAAACTGGTCTAATTAATTATGGGCTGAAAACCCTCAACTATGCATTTAGCAAGGGGGTCAGAACTAGATGACCCCCAGGGTCCCTTCAAACTTATGATCCTGTGATTTATTGTTCAGTGACAAATTGGAAAATGCAGACATTATAGGTGGGTCCAAACTCCCCTCATTTCTAAGCTCATGAATTAATGTTTCGCTGGAATAAAAAAGAAAGAAACAGTTTAATAACTCCCATCTCAAAGCCATTCCTCTCTAAACTCATTTGAGAGACTTAAATGTTTTCGCGCTGGAAACTCAAGGAACTACCGCTCTTACACCACACAAAAAACAAGTGTTTAGAATAAACACTTCCATCTCTTCAAATGCAAGTATTTCACTTATCTATTCCAAGAGCTACCATAGTTACTTCCATCTTACATCTCTCTAAGCTACATCTTCTGTGGCAATTTTCACGAGGAAGAAGGAGACAACATCCTGAACCTCTCCAGTGTTCCATGGTCCTGTCATTTGCCAAAATACAATTGGGAACTCCTAGCTACTATTGTATGAGAACCATGGGGAAGGTTATGGAGATTGGCTTTGTTGCCTGCAGCAGATTAGTAACACATGATGTGCATTTGAAGGAATGGTTCTGTCATTATCCATCATATAAAGACATTTCTAAAGTATCCATCACCTTATGAAAAGGACGTGCTTTGTTTTGGCAAGGTGACAGCTGCTTTATAAGTGTCTCTATAGGATGGATTGAACTTCAATTTTGATCTAAATAAGTTAATGTGGCCCGAGACTTTTTATTTAACCCCCAAAACACTGCAAATGTGAGCTTATGTTCTGTGAATTTGTTGAGCATGATAGGTGAGTTTTTCACTTCCTGACAATTATTATTTTTATAGCTTAGAAAATATTGTCTTCCGCACCATGGAGAAAAGAATCCGAGACCTTTTGTTGCATTTTGTATTTCAATTTTAATGCCCAGCAGTCTATTGTCATGTGCGCTTTGTATATCCAACTCTTTTAACAACAGCACGTCCAGTTCAATATAGTTAAATAGATGCTCAGTGGGTTCCTGTTATCTGATAGCTTGCCTTTATACCTACTCTAACTATAGGTTTCACTTGCTCTAAAGTAAGAATAAGCCAGCATAGGAAAGAGGAAACCCTGTGCACATTATAGTATAGCGGCAGGCTAAAGAGTTCCTTTTCTCCCTTTGGAAAGCTAAAGTTTGGCTCCTGGCTTCCTTAAAATATTATTTGCAGGGGGAGAAATACTGTTTTAAGATCTTAACCTTCAACAGAGATAGGAGCCACACTCCAGGTTTGTAGAGAGTGACTCATTTAGTTGTTGGTATATGGTTAATAAAAATTGTCACCTGGTAATTATGCAGTGAAGCTTTATTAATTCTGTTCTTTTTTTCAATCTAGCACACAAAAGGGATTCGCTTTGCTACATTCTATGGGCTGGCTGGGCTTGGGAAAAAGCTGATTGCCTTTAAAAAGTAATGACTGCCTCTAGGTAATAAAGGAGGCAAGTTTTTATTACTTAAAAAAACACATTTTCTCTCCGCATAAGACCTACCGTATCTATGTGCCACAACTGATGTTTGTTCATTAAAAAAAAACACTATTGCCAGGTGGTAAATTTTGTGGGCTTCTTTGCAAAGCTGAACTTGAACCCTGGAGATGTGTGCCATTTCCCCCCTTCCAATGAAATCTATGGTTCAGTGTCAGGAAATCCTGTATGCTGTGGTTGCCACTCTATTGGGACTCCAGCTCCCATCATCCCAAGCCAGCATGGCCAAGGGGCAGGCATGATGGGAGCTGTTGTTAGGCTACTTCTGGAAGGCCAAAGTTCCCCCATCCCTGCCCTAAAAGGATCCCAATGCTTCCTTAAGAGGTTTATCTGAAATGGAAGGGAAAATTGCAACGGCAGCCAAAAATCCGATGGAACGAGAATTCACATTTTATGCATGCTTATGATTTCATAACACAATTATGTTATAACTGTATTGTCACAGATTATTGCAGTTGAATATATTATGCTTGCCACTACGGCTCACGGAAGCCTCTTTCTGCACCCTTAATACTCATGGTGAATGTGAGCAGAAGGTGCTGTTTTCCCTGGCAATAGTGAATCTACATTCAGAAGGGCATTATGAACATTGATCATGGTCTATGCTACTATCCTCTATTTAGAGGGATGACGAACTGTGCACATAAATGCCTAACCCAGCAAATGGTCAAGTTAATGAAGGAGATTGTGCATAGCCCCAGTCAGAAAATCAGCAGAACCTCCCTCGTCCTCTGCTGATTTTCTGACTAGATCTAGTCACAAATTGCAGTTTGGATCAGAGTTTAAGGCTTTTAGGCTGAAATTCTAACCAGGGAGTAAGTTCCACTGAACTCAATCAGGTCATTTTTGAGCAGGCGTGTATTGGATTGTCCTTTTGGGCAGGGGCGGAGGAAGGGGGTGCGGTGGGGGCAGGCCGCCCCAGGTGTCACCACTGAGGGGGTGACAAAATGGCGGGCAGCACTCACCGCGGGACCTGCAGCGAGCCCGAGCCACGCGTCTCTCCTGGGAGAGACACGGTGGTTGGGCGCCCACAGGCTCTGCGCTGCACCAAACGGTCCTCCCGCTGCCTTCCCCTCAGCTGTAGGGTGGCTGAGTGGGAGGAGGTAGGCAGACTCCTCGGAGG